TAAATATTTTATATTTTCTATATTTTTCTTGCATATAATACAAGTACTAAATTTGTATAACTTTGGTTTTCTCTAGTACTTATTTTTTGAAACAAAATATTCATTTTTTGAGTCATAAATAATTTATTGACTTGCTTATTTGAATAGGACGAGAATTTCACTTTTTAAGCATGCACTTCATAGATGATATGTATATTGTCGATGAATTCGATGCCTTTGTTATACCAGATTCTGGTATGAATTTTTTGCAAATCGGAATAATTATTGAAATAGTAAAAAAATTCAAAGTAATCTTTATTATTTTAATTCATGCAAAGAGATACTTGTGACTTCAATAATAACTATAACTTTTTTCTGTAGATACGACTGATAAAGTATTATCGTCAACTTATTCAAAGGCCACGTAGGGTGACTCGATTTCCAAAGCCAGGATTACCAAATGTTTCACAGTTAAAACTCAAAAGAAATCAAAAACCTTTTCCTTCTGATAAAACGATTGAACCAGATGAAGAATTTTGAATAACTAGCTTTGGACAAACGTTTATAGCATTTAGTTATTTAGACACAAAGTAATAGATATTTCCAAACCAGAATATTTACACCAAATTTACACCAATATGTAAAAATTCGCAATTGTAGAAGCATAAATAATAAACTATACAGACCATGCATTACAATTTATAACTCTAAATATTTTTTTTGGAAGTAACAGATGTTACGTAGTTCGATTTTTTTTTTTAATCACTATAAAGCGACAAATAAACATTTGTACTGGCTTTAGAGTAGATCTATAAAGCTTAATATTAGTTTTTCTCATTGCTATAACGATAAGCGTTGCGAATAAAATTTTAAAAAAAGTTTAGTTACACGAATAAATTCAGAAATGTATTAATAATAAAGAATAACTATGGGAAAACTGAGAAGGCTTTACGTACAAATTTTAATCATTATCATTACATATTACCAAATCATTATCTCCGATTTATTTTTAATTATTCGAGGTTCTCTCTTTTAAAATTATCCCATTCACATCGCTTATATATTCCATTCGCTACTTTTTTGCACGTTTTGCAATATAGATGTGAATGATGATTACATTCGTCACAAATAGTGATGGGCAACGCGCGGGATTTTTAATATGAAATTATTCGGCCCACATTGGCTTTTCATCTGGCCTACATTACATATAATCCGGCCTGCATTAACATAATCGGGCCAATTCCTAATTTGTTATTAATGTACATGAAAATAA